ATATGCATCCGGATAGGGAGATAAAAATCCTATTGCCACAGAGCGATTGAGTAAGAACATTACAAAAGTATCGTTATAGCACAAGATGATGCATACATAGATATTTGATCAGTTATGTTTTGTACTTCCATGATAGACTACCCGTGAGTAGGGTATTTATGTTGAGATTTTTGGCACACCCGTTATGAGCGGCAGATGTATTTCGTTTTGTTTTAGCTGACATCCTCTTATATTAGAGCAGGTTACTCGGATGTACTTCGAGATGAGATACTTATTCCTTATGTTGGAGATTGGAGTACTTTTCCATGACTGTTGTTTTTCTTTCATGAAGAATTTTATGAATGATTTGATATATGAATATAATGACTCTATTTTTTTCTATATACTCCTACCCCTTCCTCTGGGGAGAGGTAGTGATGATCTCGCTAACGCTTTGACGCTCGTTGTTTCCCCTCTTTCAGGCAGCGAGTCCGACGCACGAAGAGTCGCAGGTTGATGGGACATCTTAGTTGTCCGTTTAGCTATTTATTATATTTTGTAGTCATTTCAGAACTCCACATGTAGTTGGTTATTTTTCAAACTCCAGATTAGTATTTTATTTCATAGAGTTGAGAACTATTGTAAGACTTTGTTTTTTTTTTCTTGACTCATTGTATTTGAGACTCAGTTCAGACTCAGAGATATATCTATTTTATTCCAGTTGGGCTCATTATTGATATTCTTATGCTTCTTCTGTGTTCATCCAGTGTTGTTATATTTCTATTTTATTTGTCTGTATGTACCTTCACTTATTTATTGTTTCCACTAGAGAGATAACGATTGTGATGGTGAAACATGTCGTAGCATGGTGTTTGATGCTTGGCAGATTTGTCAATCCGGATTTCACCTGAGACTGCAGCCTTGTGTGAACCCTGGGGCGTCACAGATATGGCCAATGTGGATATCATGGTAGAAGATGAAGACAAGACGATGTTGTTATTATGTTCATTGTCAGAGGATGATTATGATACCTTTGTCCTTACAATGATTAATGGTAGAACCACTATCAGTTATAAGAAGGTGACCTCAGCATTGGTTAATTATGAGTTAAGGAAGAGTGATAGTGAACCTTCCGAGAAGGCATCGGGAGATGCATTAGCAGTGAGAGGTCATAGTCCAAACCACCGTCCATTTAATCACTCAAAATTAAAGCCAAGTGAGGCACATCCTGTAGTTGGTAGAAATCAGTGTGTTTTTTGTAGAGACGATGGACATTGGAAGTCTGATTGTCCAAAATTGACAGATCGAGCCAAGAAGAATAAGAGGAAAGCTATTCAAGCTTCAGAGGTAAATGTTACCAAGGCTAGTGGTAACAATTCAGATTCAGATTCTTCAAGCTACTCATTAGCACTATCGTCAGTTTGTTATGCCGACTCTACAGAGTGAATGTTGGATTCGGGTGCTTCATAGCACATTTGTCCTAGGAGAGATTGGTTTTCCAGCTTTCAGGAGTTGAAAAGAGGGGATGTCGTACCCATGCGTAATGATCATAAATGTCATATTGGTGGTATCGGCACCGTTCGTATTAGGATGTGACGATGTGTGACGGGGTGATTCGAGAGTTGGATGAAGTGAGGTTCGTTCCGCAGTTACGAAGAACATCATTTCATTTGGAGTTTTAGAGACAAGAGGCTATAGGGTGACCTTAGATGATGCATCTCTGAAGGTTATATTTGGGTCCATGGTTGTGGTGAAGGGCGTCAGGAGGAAAAATTTATATTATTTGATTGGGAACACGGTGATTAGTAGAAAGCTGACGATTTCTTTCGATTTGGCTAGACTGTGGTGTTTATTGAGGTTGGGATATTTGATTGGTTATACCGTGCATTGTTTGTTGAGAAGTGCTTTAACCTGCAGATTAAAATCATTTGAGCACATTGGGATGAGCAAGAAGACCGAGGTGGAGTTTGGCATTTCTATCCATCAATCGATGGGTGTTTTAGATGGTATTCATTCAGGCATTTGGGGGCCTTTCAAGGAGACATCATTGGGAGGTAATCGATATTTGGTTTCTGTAGTTGGTAATTGTTCTAGGCATTTATGAGTTGCAACCAATTCCCGTTGGTTTGAAGTCCTAGTAGTCAACAATAGATGAAGTGTATTGACAGAAAGGTAATCTGTTGTTCTTTTCTGTGTTTGTGCTGAGCTCACGGCAGTTTGACACTTCATTGGAGAGAAAACATTGGGGCGACGAGATGATATGACAGATTTGATGGGTCGTTCCTTGCTAGAGGAGGATCGACATTGGTTGTCGAGCATTGGATTGTAAAGGAGTTTTGGAGCTTCGACATATTTGGGTCATCTTAGTCGTAGGTCGCCGACTGCTGTGTTTGGAGATTTTGGATCTGGTAGAGCTTTTTCAGATACTGGGTTGCTTCGGATATTTGGATTCTCAGCATATGGTCACATCGAGGATGTGAAATTTAATCCGAGTGCACATTTGGGATTCAGATGCATGTTTAGTTATCAGGTATTGGCTTCTAATTTTATTCTGAGCTGGTATGTCACATTTGACTCTCGGCAGGTGGAGAGTATTGATTAGATCGTTGGGATATCACAGCGGGTATGGAGGGCTATGTTGCCTAGATACGGGTACGGGTGCGGGTACAGGACATGGTAAATTTGTAAAAAGTAGGGTACGGGGACACAGCTATATATATATATAAAATAATTCACTTTAGATCAATATTCCAAAAGTTAAAACTATATTCCTTGCATAGGATATTTTTACTTTAATTAAAATTTTAGAACTAATATTATTACCTAGATCTAAGTTGCATGGAAACTGGTGCTGGTACGGGTGCGGGTACCACCTATGGGTATGGGACATGACAAAACTGTAAAATGTTGGGTACGAGTTCAAACTACATATATATATTGAATTAATAATGTACATGAGATAATTTTTTCTGCTTCATGTGTCATTAGAATTAAAATTTCGATCATATTTTTGAGTTTATTTTATCATATTGATTATCGTGAATTGTAAACTACTCATTTTTTACTAGACATCTAAACAACCCATTAACTATATAGTTTTGAACTTGGGTATGGAGTGAAACGAACCCGACCCGTATCCCACTAGTTTCAAAAGACGGATGTGAAGTGTAAGCTCTACGTCCAGGAAGTCTTTGACAAGTGTTTTAAATTAACACATATATCGTATAATTAAGTACATGTTGTAATAAATGCATGCATATATTCAAGAAGTGTCCATGAAGTTTGGGTACGGGAAAGTGTCGGGTACGTGTCCGGTACGGGTACGGCTTCAATAATGAAGTACCCGGGTAACATAGGTGGAGGGTGATACTCTCTAAACTCTGCTTAAGACTCTAATTATTTCTCAAGCTTCTGATGGATTGATTGGAATAATCAGAGGAAGGGAGGGAAGGGGGCTTTATAGGCATCAATCCCCCCTTTGGTCAAATCATTCAGCTCCCCTTTCTCTCCTTTTCTCTCTTCGTACACAAATGTGGTTGCAGCGGCTCCCCATGTCAACAACTGCGGTTCCTCCCATTTTTAACCTCCCACCGAAAGCTCTTCAGCCTTTATTTTCAACAAAATCGACTGCCACCCAACAATCTCCACCTAGGCGAAGTTTTCTCAAAATGAACCGACATCAATACCAACCAAATATCTCACTTGTTGCGTCCAGTACGAAATGGAACAAATCCACGATAACGGACTCAATCCATAATAAGTCGGGAACACAAACGAGAATGCGAACAAACTCCAAATGTCGGTATCAACTCACCAAACCGGTTGCATCATAAAATGACTGCCTACGCATCCTCTTGCTTAAGGAATCAAGGCTCACGTAGTTCACTTAATGGCTTCCAAAGGTCCTCAATCCAATAGAAGAGTTCGTAACCCTTTTCCAACATCATCAACAAATATGCGGCTGATAGAACTCCTAATGACCCTAAAATAAACAAACCAAATATCTCCACCTGAGGTGAACCAACGGTCATAACCAAATGCGAACTATATCCACCAGCTGCACTCGAAATAACCGACTCATCATCTACATCCAAAACCACATGAACCCCAACCTATGTTACCTCAGCTGGAATCCCAAACGATACAGTATGATCTGGAGTATGTGGAGTAATCTTCACCCAATGGGTAATTTTGTGAGAGAGATTGAGAGAAAAAGAAATCAAGAGTGATTTGTTGTTTGTAAGATTATTGAGTGATTGTAATCTCTATTTGTACTCTTTCTCTATTAATGAGATATATCCCATCCTTGCCCCGCGGACGTAGGCACATTGCCGAACCACGTAAATTTGGTGTCTTGCCTGCTGTGGTACTTGTTTTGATTTCGTTTGTGATTTTTGGTTACGCTGCGCACAACACCTACCACTATCTTTCTTTCCTTTGTCAACATGTTAAAAACAAAATCCTACCTTTGTCACATTTCTGAGCTGGTTAGTCAAAATTAAGGCATCTACATAAAGCACGAGAATGTCAAGGGTAAACGCTAAACCCCCAACATCTTCTGGGTAAATTACACTAAACCTTCAATAACTTTCATAATGCCTTTTTTCTGTTGTTTCTTTGTTCTAATTCATGGGGGTTATCTCCAACACAAGGAAACTTATTGCGGGGTTTTCTGCAACTCGAAAAGTTACTGGGGGCTTTAGTGAGAAACGCCAAAAGTTCTTGGGGGTTTAGAGCAATTTACTCAATATGGGTACTACATATCTGAAACAGACATTTCATCAAACGCTTTTAGAGTACACACCAGTCACAAAAAGCAACAAAATTCAAAACTCTTCGGATTACATAAAACAGGATCCTAGCTTTGTTAGGTGGTTGGTAATGAATCTCCATAGAGCACGAGACCTACAACATGGGCACTCAAAATCCTCAGACAGACAGACATTTCATCAAACACAGAGAGCCCCATCCATCAAAAACAAAACAAGAATACAAGAACAAAGGATGAATGAATAAAGCACCTGAATTAGAGAGGGCTTGTGAATAGCAGCACCGAAAAGGGACTGCGTGACTCGGTCGGATATCCCCAGAGACTTCCACGAGACCTCTTCGTCAGCGAAGAAGCAGCTCTCGCTTCCCGGGCCTCCTTCCACTTCATGGGCTTTGTTCGCGGCCCGCGTAGAGAAAGCCCGCAGTCTCAAAGAAGACTTTCTGTTAGCGGGCCTCCCCAGCTGCTGCTGCTGCCCCGCCCCCGCGGGGGGAAGCCGACATGAGGTGAGAGGAGTAGGTTGTGGGGCCCAGCGGATGGAAAGAGAAGGTAGAAAGCAAGCCGGCGGAGCCCGGCAGGAGGCTGGCCGGAGGTGCGTGAACGCTTGGTGGTGCGCACGGAGGCGGAGACTGCTGTTCTGGCAATATAGTAATATTATTAATAATTTTTATTGGTTTGAAATGGCCAGGCCTCCAAGCTTTTGAAGCGGTATTGTTTTGGAGGCCAACGCTGCCGGAGATGTAGAGAGCAGCAGGCGGCCTGCGATTTTGATTATCGCGAACCTGTCGGGTCGGGTTTTGCGGTTATTTTTGATTTTGTATTCAAACCCAATTTTATCATTGCTGTTGACATTGAAGAGGGTAATAAACTCGTGTATGTGTGTGCTGTAGGTCGTCAATGCAAAATCATGCAGGATAACATTTTCTAATAAAAATGGAACTATATCTATTCCTCTATAATAATATGAAAACCCAAGAATCATTATTTATGCTACAGAAATTTACTTTGACATTATTACTGTAGCATTTTCAAAGAGATATTACTGCAGTATAGACGAGATATTGTAGCATTATTGAAAATATCATTGTAGCGGAGGTAGGATACTGTAGCATTTTAAAAATATTGTTGTATCATTTTTAAAACTACACTGTAGCAATTAAAAAAATAAGATTACTGTAGCGATAAAAAAAAGGAAGGTCGTGCTTCGTACAGGGCGCACACTAGTATTAAAGAAAAGTAATGGCATAGAAAATAGAAAAAATTGTGTCTATACCCCAAATCTTAAAAAGTCATGTGCCCCAGTCCATGTATTTTTACTTGTGTGTATAAACCCAAATTACATGAAAAAAATTTTGTTTGAGCCCGGCCAACTAAGCGGAGTAAGAGAAAAAACTTAAAAACCCTAAACTACCCCTACATCATTATGGTACGAATACCCGATGACTTTAGACCACGCGGCCTCCCAATCTTAACTCAAATTCAAGCTCTCGTCTCGTCCTCTCTCTGCTCGTCATCTCCTCTCTCTCGTCCCCCCCCCCCCCTCCCCTCCCGCTACTCTGTCCTCTTCTTTTCTGAGAGGTTTAACAGTATCGGTGAAATCCCGAAATGTACTACTAGGTTTTCAAATTGCGGCAGAAAAAATGTCTAATCTCGGACGCGCGAACCTAGATTCCCCAAAATATGGAAAAAAGACAATGAAATTGAAGTTGTTCACCTCCTCGTGCAGCCGCGAAGAGCACGAACCGACGGGCAGAACGACGAACAACAGATACTCGTCTTTGACGACCATTAAAGACCCCCCCCCCCCGCGCGGCACCCCCCGCCGTTCGGCCATCAGTAAGACCCCACTCGCCTTCGAGAATGTTAAACATCCCCCCTTGCCACTGAAGAATTTTAAAGATCCCCCCTGCCGTCGAAGACCGACCTTGGACCCTCTGCTCTCTCATCTCCCTCCATGTCTTCGTCCACCCATGCTTCATCATCAGGGAATCACAGCACTGATGAAGCCACCCAAATCCTGTTGGGCATGCAAAAGGGTTACCAAGAAAAAGGAAATTTCTAAGTTCAAAACAAGAATTAGAGAAATCTAGAAAGAAGTAAGTTTACATTAAATAAATTTATATAGATTGATGTTACAAATTAATGTTGGTGCATTGTGAACTATATGTCTGGATCTGTGAAATTTAACATATTAATGTTACAGATGAACGATTGGCTGTTACGTTTCGTTATAACCTGCTAACATTTCTTATAAACTATTAACTCTGGAGTTTGGTTGATCATATTGGTATTTGATACTTGACTTTACAGATTATACGTTAAGTTTTATTGATCAATAACAAGTCTAGTGAATGGTTGTTAAGGGGTATATCATAACTATTACATTTCATTGTTGGTTGTTATTATTGGTTGTTGGATATTAAGTTTAGATAGATTGATATTAAGTGTTAAATTTTATTACAGGAAAAGTCTGGTAATGCTGCAAAAATTAGATCTACCACTAGTTTTAGCGCATATTATGATTTTATGAAAGTACTTGAACCGAGAATGAAGCGGTGCATTGAGATGCATACCATGGGTGCATATTTGAGCATTATGTAATATTTGGTCCCCTAGCAGTAGATCAACCCACGCTTGAACTTATTTTGAGTCACTATGTAGGAGGTGAAGTGACGTTTGCTCTGCCCAATGCCGATAATGGGAGAGAAAAGATAGTTAATTTTGATTTGGACTGGGTTCATAATCACACGGGTTTTCCAATTGACGGGAAAATGATTTACAGCAATAGAGATCTTCACACTAGGATTTGGATGGAATATTTTGCTAATCAATTTACTAGAAATGAAAAAGAAGCACTACAGAATATGTGAAGATATGTGGAAGGACAACTAGAATCTCTTGTTGAATAGAAAAAGAAGAAGGATATTGAGGACTTTGTGTTGCTTCAGATTCTTTATCAATGTTTAACGATTTGGTACCCCAGGAGTGTACAAGGCATCCCTAGGCTCTTGTTCAAATATGTTGATTGCATTGGAAGAGTGAAGAATGTGACGTGGGGGAAATTCATTTATGATCAGACAAAGGAAGGCATTAAGATTGCTAAGGAATGTCTAAACAAACCAGGGATTTTATATATACTTGGATGCATGCCTCTGATCCCTATAAGTTACATTAAATTTCTTATTGTTATTGTTAACCAATGCATGTGAACATTTCTTTGTATTTTGTCAACTATAGTTAAAAGTAATTAAGGTTATATGTTAATGTAACTCAATACATGTTAAGCTTTGTAAGGTTAGTGTTAACTATATTTGATGAATACCGTATTTGTGTTTATTTTTGTCAACTTTTATTTGCATGTTTCATGTTAAACAGATAATTAGTGCATGTTAACTTATTTATTTGAACAATTTATTTGCATCTATAATACTACGAAATGATAGGGATTAAAAAATATGCCCTGAGCAATAGATTTAAGCCACCACTGACTAACTGGGTGATGATTGGAGAGAAGTCTGGATCTCTCAGAAAGGAAACAATTGTTGCAAAAAGATGGAAAAGCAAGCATTGCTGTAGTTCAAAAACCTATAGCTGAATTTGGCATATGGGTTGAAAAATATCCACTTAGAAATATGAGGGAAGATGATTCATTAACGATTAGAAGAGAAGGGATTCCACCATTCCCAGTAAAGAAGTCTGCAGAAGAAAAGAAGGAAGAAAAAAAGAAATCATCAATATGTTTGGTAAGCTCTTAACCAGTGTATATTAAGAATGGCATACAACTATTAAGTATATCACACGAACTATTAACTTTGATGAAAAGATGTTAATGTTACTTGCTTGCATGTTAATATTTACTATGTATACGTGAACTATATCCAATATCTGTTTTGATTTAAGTAATGTGTGTGAACTTTAGCGTTTTACATGTTAAAGTTTAAAAAACAACTATTAACTTTTGTGGCATCGAGAGCATTTCAAAGGACATTTGTAAATGGTTCTATTATTGATATGTTGTATTCTATTTCTCCCTTTTCTTTTAGTAGTATGTGGTGGAAGTAGCTCGACCTCATCCCTTAGCAAACTACGCTTCTCAAGTTCTGGTATGAGATAGAGAATTGGCTCATAACTCATTTTAAATACTTCTATAGACATAAACCAATTGCAATATTGGTAAACATCTCTCTTCATATACAAGATGACTACACAAGCATGTTTACAAGGAATTCGCATGACGTCCCAAGCCCGATAAGTGCATGTCTTCTTCTTCAAATCAACCCGTGTAGTTTTTATGAGATTACACTTCAAATATTTCATTTGCAGCTTGTTTAACATCCAATAAATGACTTTTATCTATATTTTTAGCACTATCTCTACTTTTGGATAGAGATATCCACTCCATTTATCAACAAGTGCCCGATGATTATTCATGCGGACCATCATTTGTTTACGAATATGCTCAACTATTTGCAAAATTTGTAGCAATCTAGCCTCGCGTATCCAATTATTAAAAGACTCAACCACATTAAATGTTAAGTGCTCATACCTAAAAATATATTAGGAGAACATCGCCAGTTATACAATGTAAGTTAATAGTTTTAGGTTGATAGTTAACAGTTATACTTTAAACATTAACAGTTACGTAATGAAAGTTAACAGTTATGAGCAAAAGTTAACGTCAATGACACAAAGCCTCATTGTTAATTCATCAAAGGTAATATGTTCTGTATAACATTACCTAATTCCAGGAAAGAATGTATTTACCTACTGATCAGGAGAGTAGTTAATAGTAATGTTATATGCCATTGGATCAATATCATATATGTCTTTCATATAATCATTCCATTCTGCTATAGTGTATTTATAACAATTAGATTGGAATAAGTTTCCAAAAATATGAGTGTCATTCGGTTTCATGCCAAAGTCTTTTAGCTTTAACCTAAAAAATTTAACGAGATGTAGAACACATCTAGAGTGTAGAGCTTCTATAAAATATTCTTTCACTGATTCTTTAATTCCTTTGTCCGCATCCAAAATTATAACCAATTGATAGGGAGGATTGTATGGGTTAGACCTTGCATAAAGTATGGATCACAGACCTTAGATGAACCACTTCCAATTGATCAAATTCTCCTTATTGCATATGCAATAAACTAAGAGAAATATCCCTTGGTCCCTATCGTATGCTATGGCGCAAAAGAGTATACCTTTATATTGATTTTTCAAAAAGATATCATCCAAAAGTAGAAGGGTTCTGCATCTACTCAAGAAACCATTAATGCATGCAACATAACGGACAAAGAGTCTTGAAAACATTCCCTCATTCTGTTCAACATGAATATAGCTACCTGGATTTATCTCTTTTACCATGTGCTCATACCTAGAAAATTAATAAGCAAACATCGAAAGTTAACACCTTATCGGTGTAACTTAACGAGAGAGCTGCAAAAGTTAACATGCTCCCAATGACATTTACCAAGTAAATTGCAAACATTAACATGTTAGCGATGTGTTTTAACAAGCAAACCACGAAAATTAACATGTTATTAGTGTAGCTTAACATGAACACCTATAGACTTAACATGTTATCTGTGTAACTCAACAAATATTTGGCAACATTCACATATTAATTGTTAGGCTTAACATGTGATTATCATACTTAGAAGACATTAAAACATTGTAACAACAAAGCTCAAATTTTTACCATCATAGTTGATCATACGACTCATATATATCCCCGTACAGCTTCTCTCGGACTCTCTCTTTACCCCCACCATATCTTAATATAATCAATTCTAAGGCCGTGCATTGTGAGGAACTCCTTTTGCAATCAACAAGGTGGATTTCTAGACAAACCTTTAGGAGTGGTTGCAACTGTATTGCAATGAATTTATGGGATGCGCTTGAATTACCTGCATTTTGCCTATGCTGTCCACAAGTGTGTTCATTCACAAACTTCTTGATCGAAAGTGTATTTTTATTTTTAACAGGAGAAGCAAACAACATTCAAGGACACTCATAAGTTTTTTTTATATCGACAATAAATCCGAATATGTTTTGGTTTGTTCTTTACATATTCATAATCAAACATTTTTTGGCCATATCAAAGATAATCTTATTTGATTGGCACTTTCAAATTCTTGACCCTCTTCAGTTAATACAATGTGCCACCAAGTAGGAATCATTACTGTGTTGTTAATAATGCCATCAGATCACATTATATTACCACTACTAGGATTACCAGTGAGAATCCTTTCTGAACTATGACTTACGGTAGGAATGCTATCAATAAACTGTGACTTCAATGTAGTAATAATAAAAAATATAACTATTTTTGTTAAAATAACGATGACGGCTAGTAGTTAACTTTTGCGTCATTAAAAGTAACACATATCTAGTAAAGCTTAACAACCATGCTAAGTAGTTAGCATGTATTAGTCATATATAACATTTAACCTGAAACGGTTCTCTATACTAGTCATTTCTCCATATTTTAATCACACAATTTACAACTTTCTCATAGTTCAAATGATAACTTACGTTTCAAGAAGTTCCTTCTGAGTGTTTTGAGATTTAGAAACATCTATATCTATAATAGCTCGCATATGGATCTCCACACACCTAATATTATGGTTATGCTCCACTATACACTTCAAATCATCTTCATTCTTGATCTCAAAACTAAGATCAGAGTTTCTTTTAGATTTATATATCATTGATAACACTTCATAGTGGACTTTCAACCTCTTAGCCACATCAAACTTCAATTCAAAAAAAGAGGTTGAAGATGTTACCATTAAGAACATCGCTTTCTCATCCAAAGACATCATGCAAATCAGAGGTTTCTCTATCATTAATAAATGGGATTTAAGAGGAGTGATGAAGGAAATGTTAGGACAAGAGGGGGGGGGGGTTGAAGATTATAAACCCTAAGTTCATAAATGTGGGCTTTCCATCATAAATAAACTCTATTCACACAAGAATGAGTTAAGTGGAGATATAATGGAGGTAAATCCCCAAACTTTACCCCCAAAACATCCATCAAGTCATCTTAATTACGACCGCGATAGAGCTCCAGCTCTAGATCTGGATTTTTGAGGTTGGGGAGCGAGCAAAGAGTATATTTAGGTTTCTAGGTCAAAATACAGGTATGGGGTTGGCTTATGGGGTTCGATCACAATTGAATATGGGTCAAACTACTTGGGGCTGGGCCACATGAGTTCACGTGATTTGGGGCCTTGACACAATTTTTCCTAGAAAATATTACATTGTGAAAATATTGATGGCCAATAGTTTGGATGTGAAATATCAGAGCTAAAAGTTTATATGAGATGATAAAAGATTTGAGAAAGATTTGAGATAGAGTTTGATTTCACTTGGACCTCGCAACTTGAGTTCGAGCGAAAGAGGCCTGTGTTGCATAGTAGAGCTCACCAAGTATAAATCTCACTCCAGCAAGTGGCACATGTTTTGATTAACTAGACATAGGCCCAACCCCGGTCTCATGAAGGCTGTCTCGAAAGGCCTCCTCGCCGAGAATGCCAACTCGAGAGGCATCATCATTCAGCAGACTGAGTTAAAAGACACATTCACTTGACTCCTTTTGAAAGCCAAGCCGAGACAAATGACGGCCTTTCTCGGACTCTCAATGATAGCCAGTCACCATAACATTAAAGGCACAAAGTTATCATTACACAATCGTTGAAATCTCAATGATGCATCGAATCACGTTAGCACCTTGAACCCTCTGCCACCGTCGCACTCATCACAAGGGTGACTCGGAGCCCCAAATGCTAAATACCTATAAAGGTATCAGTTGACTAAGCTGACTGCATGGACTCGGCCAAAATTATGTAAATACCATTGTCAATTCAGTATAAATAGGCACATCATTTATTGCTCAAAGGTACACAATTTATGCACACTGAGAGGTCATTTCTCCCCTTCAGATCATAACTAACCCGATCGTCGGAGGAACTACCGAAGAATCCAATTCTTGTCCTCTAACATATTGCATATATGCATGGCTCTCTTCATATTAGGAAGTCAGCCATTAAAGGAGATTAAGTGACCCTAAGCTTTTCAAAATCAGCCCTAATCCCTACAACCTAACTTCTGACATCGGAAGGCAGATAATCAAAAGAATATGTGGGCGTGGGGGCGTGGCGCGGGCCCGTGCGTGAGTGTGGAGGGAGGAACCAAGAAAAATAGATGAATATAGGATGAACTAGAGGAGAAAATTTCAATAGAAATTAAAAAATATTGACCGATTAATGGTAATGACGACACTGTGAAAAGCCACTTAATTAGAAAAATTCAAATGTTTATCGCATGCCACAAAAACGAGTATGGTTAAGGGAGAAATATTTAATAATGATCAATGTTCTTTTGACTGTGTAGAGGAGTAAAACCTATCATAGAGAAAATCTCAATGGTCACGAGAGTTTTTTTTAGCTGGCACCAATGTTAAGAAAGAGAGGTTAAAGAGAAAGATTAATGTACTTAGCCCATTCAATAATCTGAAGGACTAAATTATTAACCCGTTAAATAAGTTTTTTTTAGCCATTGTGATCAGTTTTAGTATTTGGGAATAACGATGATTTTGACTATTTTCTTTATAATTAGAAGGGATAACTCTTAATCCTTCTAAATAGGAGTATTAGTAAACCCCTCATTTTGAGGGGTTAACTCATTTTAATCCCTATAGATGGGTTAACTTAACCCTTCTAAATTTTTTATGTTTGGCAAATTATGAAGGGTTAACTCACTTTAACCCTTGTATAGATTTTTTATGTGTTGGCGGGTTAAGAAGGAGTTAAGTCTCCTTAACCCCTCACTTAACCCTTTGTCAAACGGTACCTATATGATGCAACATAATGTTCATTAGAGAGTAGAAAGAGGAGGGGAAAAAATTATAACAATTAAAAAAATAAAGATTTTTTTCAAATAATCATCTCTAACTTAGGCACTAATTTCATGTTACCACTCTTAACTACTCGAGTTTCACAAAACTATCTCGATGCATCACGCCGTCAACATATAATCACACATGCATGTACTTTCCTATCTAGTCTCTCTATAAATATTTAGGAGCCACGAAATACCCAATGGTTGAAAGGTTCTAACATGACTCCCAAATAAAATAAAAAAATCTCTATTAATATTAGTAGGATAATATGGTCCTTTCTCCCTTAAGTTATTAGTGAACTCTTGAATTTCTTCCTAAAGCATCAATTTACATATTTTGGTTCTCAACTATATTTATATCTTCAATACGGTCAATTTGTGAGTCTACAGTAAAATATTTAATAGATTAATGAGGTAACGATGGTTAGGGTTGCTAAACCATATCCATATCCGAGGAAATATCCGTAACCGTATCCGTTAGGATATGGATATGGTTACTCAAATCTATAACCGATAGGATATGGTTACGGATATAGTTTTGTAGTGAAATATCTGTATCCGTATCCGAAATATCCGAATACAGATTAGTCATACTCTAACGATAGTTTTGATTCTTAGATTATGGACTTATGGTTAAATTTGATGATCAAGATGTCCAATCTTAACTTTTTAGTTACAATGAACATATTAACGAACTCTTTTGTTTCACATGAACTATATTTTTCTTAATACTATCTAGTTTCCTCATATCCGTTTTGTATCTGTATGCATATTCGCTTATATATTCGCATGTATATCCGTAACCGTATCAGATTTTAGCAGATATGGTTATGAATTTTTCTTACCAAGATATATTCGTATCTGTATCTGTATCCGAGATGGGTAAGCGGATATGGATATGGTAAGCATCATATCCGAGCCGTATCCGAACCGAATGCACCCCTAAATGTAACGTGAATAAATAATAGAGGACTAGAATTTGTATTCTTAATTGTAGGAACCAAACATGGGATCGAGATTTTGGGCATCAAAGCCCCAATGATTTTAACCAAACATGGTTCTAGGACTTCTAGTCCCAGGCCATCATGAACCAAAGGCTACCTAAGAATTTGTATTATCAAAATAAGGACTTCTTAGACCCTCATCCACTAAGAATTTGTATTGAGTTTTTACTGAGAGTTTACCCCTGCTTTCAAATAACCACCTTCTACAATCATCCTCTTCATTTAGAGAAACATTATTAATTGGAGCCAATAAATCAAAATATTGGAAAAAATAAGGGATTTGCAACTGTCTAACAAAAGAGATTCTCCATTATTATGCCCTAATCTCCTCATAAAACACACAGTAGCATCTGAATCGTCAGTTAATGCAAATGAAGATGGAATAGTAGCAGATGATGTAAAAAGTCACCACACCACTATCACGCCAAATATAGGTATTTTTACCTTGCAGGCTTGTAGATTGGTCTTGTTTTTTTGTTTTTTTTTTTTTAAAATAGTCAGAGGTTTCTTTACAACACTACTGAAGTGAGCTAATTTCCCAAAGAACATTTCAGTTATTTTACATTTTAAAAATCATGGAAGTTTCGTGAGACACACCATAGTTGCGTGGGATTTTCTAAAATTTTCAAAGTCGAGAGGATTATCTAACCAAACTTGAGGGCGACTTTCTCAAATTAAAATTAACCTGAGCTGTTCCAAAAAAATAAATAAAATAAAATAAAATAAAATAAAAAATAAAATAAAAAGAGAAGCGGGTTCACACCGAACCAACCAAGTCCATCCTCCGCCGACGCCTCCATTCTGTACAACGATACACACGGCATGCGATATCATCAATTGGAACCTAACGGTCTAAAAAGGGCATTTTCGTCATCGCGGCCCAAAACATTTTGAAAAAGGGAAGTGGGGGGGAGCCAAGAAGAGGGGGAATCTCTTATATTTCAATCCCCCTCCCTCTCCCTCTCTCTTCTCTTCTCCACTCCCCTCGCTGAAACCCTAGGAATCGTGAAGGAAACCGATCAAAAATCGAAGAAATCGACCGACGATGAGCGACTTCTTGGGGTCCGTTCGCAGATCCCTCGTCTTCCGACCGTACCCCAACAACCCCGACGACGCTTCTTCGAGCGGGAGAATCACTGATAAGATCGGATCCTGTCTCAGGAAATCTCGGGTCGGGATCGGTTTAGGGTTTGGGTTTCTTCCCAAACTCTCATCGCCTCCTCCTCCTCAGCCCATCGTTGAAGACGACGCCCCTCCGATTCGATGGCGGAAGGGGGAACTGATCGGCTGCGGTGCTTTCGGCCATGTTTATATGGGCATGAACTTAGATTCTGGGGAGCTTCTTGCTGTCAAACAGGTCAATTTCCCACTTCTTTTCTTTTTTTGTTTTGCTCGGGCGAATTTTGGCATCGTTTTGTGATTGGGATTAGGGTTAGGGTTCTGACCGAGTTAGTTTTTTGCAGGTGTTGATCGGGGTGAACAGTGCGTCGAAAGAGAAAGCCCAAGTTAGGATCTTTGTCCCCCTTTTAGTTTTGGAAGATTACTTGTTTTCGTCATCTGTAGCAATTTTTCACAAGTTAAATTGTATTTGATAGGCTCATATAAGAGAATTGGAGGAGGAAGTTAAACTCCTAAAGAACCTCTCTCATCGGAATATAGTTGTGAGTATCTTCGTGAATTTTTATCTCTTTTGTTACTAGTTGTTATATTTTTTTTTTGAAGAAATGGCTAACCAATTGTCTGTTTGGGGGTCTTCAACAGAGATATTTGGGGACTGCAAGAGAAGAGGGCACCTTGAACATATTGCTCGAATTTGTTCCGGGTGGATCGATCTCATCATTGCTCGGCAAATTCGGCTCCTTTCCCGAGGCTGTGAGTAAAAGTAGTCTTTACCCTACTTGGCTAATCTCCTGATGCATGCTAATGTATATTCTTGGTTCTCCGTAGGTTATAAGAATGTACACTAAACAGCTGTTGCAGGGCCTTGAATATCTTCATCTCAATAAAATTATACACAGGGACATAAAGGTTTGCCTTTACCCTTTTGTTCATAACCGTTTTAGGTGAATGATCTGAAAATTGCACCTGTGTACTTTCAGGGGGCAAACATTCTTGTTGATAACAAAGGTTGCATTAAACTTGCAGACTTTGGTGCATCCAAACAAGTTGCTAAGCTGGTATGGATGCATAATTATTCTTTCCCTCTCTTTTTAGTAGCACCTTTTTGTTACCATAAAACTAATACTATAACGGGTTCAAATAAGAAAGTTTGAACCAATTGGTGTATGTTATTATTGTTTTAGTAAATCCAAACGGTTTAAGTTTGTTAGACATTTAGTCATCTTGTCTCTAATGGATTGTTATTTATTTGAACTTGTTATTAGGCAACCATGAATGCAGCCAAATCGATGAAAGGCACTCCATATTGGATGGCGCCAGAAGTAATTGTTCAGAGCGGACATAGCTTGTAAGTAGTCATTTCTTTCTCAATGTTCATAAATTACTTTTAAAGACATTTTGTCAGAGCTTGTGGGCTCGTATGTAGTCTTGATACAGTCTTAGATGAAATTGTTTTGTTGGTATTTTAGCTAGAATTTGAGCTTGCTTTGGCTGTCTTTTTCCATATATTCGGGGCAATATCTGTCTAGACTTCTCATTAAAAAAGTATAAACATTATAAACACATGAGGGAAAGGAGACTTGACTATTACAGTAAATAAGATGGCAAACATAATCTTATTAGAAGAAGGCTTCCACTAATTATTGGTTTTCACCAAAAGGAAATTCATCCCAACAGTAATATAGCAGTATCACCATTCAATATATAGTAGCTAGCAGGATATAATAGCTGTCTATCTTGTATCAATTAGTGCATCATGAATGATCTTTTTTAAACTGGTGCAATGGTCAAGAGTGTGGTGTGCAAGGGATGGGGGTTTTCAACATATTTAGGACAGCATTCAAGGGATGGGAGTTTTCAACATATTTAGGACAGCGTTCCTTCTTTTTGGGTTCCAGATATTGGCTTGGTCACCTAAAGCAAAGCTCAATAGATTCCCTGAATGAAGTTGGAAACTGTATCGACCTTAACACCATTATCTTCTTTCTTTTACTTTTATTTGATATTCAATTATGCTTTGTACCGAATACATCAATCTAATAAGCCACACAATTGAATGTGTGGGCTATTCTTAATTTCATCAATCTCCTTTCCTTTTTCTGAAAAATGATCATAGTTATAACACAGTTCCCCTGTTTATCACACATTGATTCTTGTCAAGCGTAGTTATTATTGTATCCTTGTTTGTCCTAAATCATCTACAGAATATCTGTGGCTGCACTTTCTTGTTGGCCATGTGAGCCACTAAAGAAAGTCACCAAGGAGCTATATTAATTCATGAAATGTTATCTATGCTTCATTCTCCAATAACTACCATCTTACTAACACATCATCAAAGATAGATGCAGAAGAGCCTCCTAGGCAGTTATAGGATATTTCATAAGAAGCCAAGAAATGCTAGTGCAGAAGTGTTCTCTTAGGTTCACAGATTGTTGCTTTTCATTTTTTTTTTGTAATTATTTTGTGAATCAAATGGCTATTTACCCCAAGGACTTAAATCGTTGTCAGTGGGGTAAATATCGTAGTTTATTTAGTTTGAACAGTTCATTGTGTCAAACCATGTCTAGAAGTTCAGTCATGCATTGGCCTGATATCTTATTGCATCACGCAAATTCATTAGTAGTTATGTCGTATTATTTTATTTATGTTTTGATATAATTCTTTATCTTTGTTTCTTTCCTGTTCATTATGCTCGAAAATACAAGTTTTTTCACTTTTACTAAGCAGATTAAGTTGCACCATATTCATGCTTGTTAATTTTCTTTTCTAACACATTCTAGCTGTGATTTATTGTGTTTTAGTAACATATGATGATCTTCTATAGAGATCTATTTTTCTGATTGTTCTATTTTGTTAAGCTCTGCGGACATATGGAGTGTTGGTTGTACTGTTATAGAGATGGCAACTGGAAAACCACCTTGGAGTCAGCAATACCAAGAGGTTATTCCATACTCAGATATTTATGTGATTTTTAAACATGTATGTAACTATTGACTTCTATTCAAATTTATTTAGGTTGCACTATTGACTTCTATTCCAATTTATTTAGGTTGCAGCCTTATTCCATGTTGGGACAACAAAGTCGCATCCCCCCATTCCTGAGCATCTCTCATCAAAAGCAAAGGACTTTCTTTTAAAATGCTTGCAAGAGTATGTATATATTTCTGAATATCTTCCACTTTTATTTTGTCTTACTGGAAACAACTTTTATTTATATCTGTATCATAAGGTGTTACCCTTAAAAAGTAATGAACATGGATTTATTTGTCTTCTGGAAGAGAATATGTTCGTGTGTGATAGTGGTTTGACTCATCTTTTGCATTTAATAATTCCTTCTTACTTTCGAAGTTTTTCAATGTGCATGCTCCCTTGTGGCAATCTATTTGATTGTATCGAAAGGCCCAGTGCCTTGTGCTCGGACATGGCTCGAGGCATTTCCTCTAGCCCGAGGCATTTCCTCTACCCCTTCTTACTCTGAAAAAGCAAGGTCACCTCCTTGAACGGATAGCCATCTTTCGGCAAACCTAGCCTCCTCTATCCCTGCTATCCAACCTAGCTGAGCCAGAACAAGGGGAAAAACAATAGAATGAACAGACCAGAATATTAGGACTCTTCTGGCCAGACATGGCACTAACAAGACAGTTAATTCAACCTTGCTAAAAAGATCTCATTTTGACAGAAGGCTCCCAGCCTCCCATTCAGAAAATAAGTATTTAATACTTTTCCTCAACCAACAACTGGTTAGTTCTCAGTGAAATATAAATTTTTTTTCTGTTTTATTTCTTATTTCTAAGAAAAAATTGTCAACAACCATTTTCCGCAATGCACTAATATCCCCATTTTCTTTCTATTTTCCTCTATGATGGTATAATTATTTGCTCTCACTTCTCTTTCTAGAACTTTTTCATTGCAGTCTCTTCTAATGATACACTCATATCAGATTTTTCACTGTAGTCTTATCTTCGAGAAAGATGCAATTGTTTATTCGTCTAGACGCTACAATTTAGCCTTTTCTGTTTTGAGCTTTTGTTCTTCATTGTTTTAGTTTTGGCTTTCTGCTTCCTTTTTTCCCCCCTTATGGCGGTGAACACTTGCTTGATGTGCTAGCCTTTGGAACTTAGTAAGTTGCTGACATGGTGCATTTGTCAGGGAACCCAATTTGAGGCCTACAGCATCCGAGTTGTTGCAGGTATTTATTAATCTCAGATTGCTTTCATTTGTCAAGTTTCGACAGAAGCATAGTGACTGATGATAATTTTATTTCCTCGATGTTCCCATGCAGCATCCATTTGTTTCAGGAGAATATCAAGATAAACATTCAGTATAACCTCTGAACTGTAGTTAGTTGGCACCTTTTCATGTTTATTAACTTCATCTGGCAGGTTTATATTGTCCATGTTCTCGTAATATTGTTGTTTTGTTGCAAACAGGAAGCCTCCACAAGCATGATTCAAACAACTAAATCTCATACGAGCAGCAAGTAAGACGAATTTCCACTTATTGTTGTTCTTGATACTGGTTCTGTTTAGCATTGGCCCTGAAATAAAACTGTATTAACACTACAGCCTCCGTCCAATGAATAGGGCCTCATCTACTAATAGAGACTCCAGGAATGGCGATCATGGTAGTGAGACTTGCTCAGTTTCGTTGACTGAGAAGCTGGTAAGAACCAGGTCTATGTGGGAGAGTACTACTAGTGATGACATGTGTCGGATTGATGATGATAAAGATGATTTCCCTGTGGTTGGATCGGTAAGAATCTCCCTCCATTCTACTTGGTCCATTATGTTGACACAAGACATAGTTATATGATAGGGCACATAGCTTAGAGCTTCTTATATTAACTGATTACATGCCAATTATTTCTTTATTTCAGAGTTTTAATCCAATGTCAGAGCCCTTTGATGACTGGTCTTGTAAGTTTGATATGAGTCCAGAACAGCCAATGGACCTCGATAAGTTGGGTGAATCAGTCAATGGTACTATAGACAATGCAGGAGAAGTGGAAAATGACTTCACATTCCCCTGTGACGCTATTTGTGAGCATGATGATGAAGTTACAGAAACAAAAATCAGGGCTTTTCTGGATGAAAAGGTCTGTATACTGTCAGATTTTTGTTTGACAGATTAGTTATGAATCTACTATAATAATTGAGCATATACTAATCAGATCGCTGACCTTCTGCACCATGCCAGGCTCTTGATCTAAAGAAGCTGCAGACACCACTATATGAGGAGTTTTTGAACACTTCAAATGCCTCAAATGATTCTCCAGGTCTTGAGAAGATATGCAGGGAAAGTGTTGTGCATAATGCAAAATTGCCACCTAAGAGCAAGCCATCTCCCAGCAAGATAGTTAGTGGGACTCAAGCTGCCTTGAATGTGGAAAACAGTAATAAAAAACTAAGCCCTAGGAGGTCCAGCAGGCGATTCTCATTTGCTGAAGTGGACAACAACAGTCATATCCTAAAGGAAATACAGTCTCCTCGGCACAATGAGTGGGGAGAACCTCTCCTAGAGACTCAACAAGAACCATACAACAGCCCAAGGTTTGTCGAACGATAGATAGGTCTTCTGATATTATTACTTTCCATGGACAGTACTCATCTACAGTTAATTAACCATATATATTACTGTTTGCTTACTGATGTGCACAAAACAAAACAAATGGCCGTGCAGTGCTTCTGACAGGCATAGGAAGTGGAAAGAAGAGCTGGATCGGGAGCTTGGTACTGCTAAGATTATATGCTTGTATCCTATATATTTCTTCTGGTTGATTGTGATAGCGTTTAAGTTAATTGCTTGGTTGCAGAAATGATGCGGCAGGCAGGTGTCGTCGGCAAAGCTTCATCTCCAAAGGACAGTAGAGGCTTGAGTCGAAAGAGAGACCGTTGGAGGTTAATGTCCCCAGGCAAATGAGGCAAATGCTTTGTATAAATCATCATTATCTTATTATCGATACCCCATCACCGATCAAGGTAACATGCTTATTGCATATATGAAATGTGCTTTTTAGTGGTTCAGCTTTTAGCCTTGTTGTTGAAGTTCTGCTCCAATCAATTACAGGAAAAGCTGCAACTCATGCGGGTTAGGTAGATCCATCACTGCCTTAAATCACAGTCGGATGACCTTTTGATCTGAATTTGGCTGGTTATTGACGCAACTGAGGGAAAGTTTTGTGTGAAATACTTATGCTCACTATGTTATCGAAGCTGCTGGTAGTAGTGTTGTAATCGTGTCAGGTTCTTAAGAGAGAGAGAGTCCATATCACATGCCCTTTTCTTCCCTTGCATAAATTTTGAATATAAAGAATTGTTATATAATAAATCCAACAATTTCTGCTATGTAGTTCATTGACATTCTCTTCACTCGTTGCAACGGTCCTTTGTGGAGCGTGCATGTATACAGAAGGAATTACAGGGTTCATGTATATATTGAGAGTTAATGTCAGAAATATAAACTCGACAGCCAAATTACACATGGGATAAACTTGTGAATTGTGCAGAAAGAGTAGGAATCTGAGTTGATTATTCTACGCAGGACGTCCAAATCATGATAATATAACGAAAGTCTTGCACATCCGGGCAAAAAATTAACTAGTGTATCATCCACTACAAAGTATGATGCTGCTTACGAGAAAATACTGGGACGTTTTTATGTCTTCAATACTTGTCATACCTATAGGGCAACTAGCCCTATTTATGCATTTAAAAGAAAAAAGAGAGTCCAGTAACCATATAAAACTTAGGCTAATATTTTGCTTCCAAATTAACGATTTTAAGTATTATACTGCCATTCCTCTGTAGATACCGCAATGAATATTTTGGAACGAGCGGGGGCAAACAATGTGCGTACTAGTATACGTTTCTAAAAGACAACTGCAAAAGGGAAAAATAAACTGCAACACATCGGCTCACATGGCTTGTTGCATCTCAAAATCACAATTTAAACCTAACGGCTTGTACTCCAGGTAGCTCCTCACAACAAAATGAGAGGCATCACTTTAACATAGTATTGCTATTGTTTTACAAAAATCAGGTAAAGGGTAAGCATAAGCATCAAAAATACCCTCACTACTTTCTTTTTAGCTGAATATTCTGTCATGGCTACGCTGGCCCTCGTCCGCCCCTACCACGTGTACCCCTGGCCTGAAATGGTGCAAAAATAAGAGTTCAACTTGCTATACAAAAGAGTCCAAAAATTGAGGGTTAAAAATGTCATGCGAAAAAGATGAAAATGGTAAATCCTTGAAAAATAGAATGAAAACAATATAAGATATTAGTACCCTATTGCTACCAGCAGTTCTGCCCCGGCCTCTGGGTGGGGTTGGAGTATTCATCCTTGCCTGTTGTTGCCTTAATCTGGCATTCTCTCTGGCCCTCTCTGTTATGCTTATTGTTCTCCCACCACTGCGGGTTTGTGCATGTTCGTCCGTCTCAGTTGGAACCACGCTACGATTCGGACTAGGGCTCCGTCGTTCTGAAACCGAGGATTGAGGAACAGAAGCTGGTGATCCTTCTCGAACAGCCACAGATCTTTGAGGGCTTTGAGGAGCGGACTGATCACTACTGTTGAGAACTGTGGGTTTTTGAGGACTTTGCGAAGAATCAGGAGCTCCCTGATCATTGTTGTTGACATTGTGCTTATCAGAGGATTCAGTGTCGTCTTCTGTTGCATCAACCTCATCATTTCTCTCAGCTACAGCCTCAGGAGAAGCAACCTCGGTGGCATCACCACCTTCGTCACCAATCTCAGCTCCATCCCCCACAACAGTATCTCCAGAAACAGTATCTTCTTGCAGTTCTGCATCATCAGGCATCATTTCCCCCTCCTCCCTCTCATCCTCGCTTTCAACTGCAGATTGATCTTTCACTTCTTCACCTTTCTGAGGTTCATCAGTCAATTCCGTCGTTATGTTTGGCCTATCTGATAACTCATCCATTACTGCATCACCTTCATAAGGAACCTCGTCTTCTTGGTTTGTACCTACTAGAGGATCTTTCTGTTGTTCATCAATTTCTTCTTTGATATCAAGTATATCATCCTCATTCTTTACTTCATCAATGATCTCATCATTTGCCAAAGTTGGAGCTTGTTCAGTTTCTGCATCTGAAGCAGGCACAGGTTGGGATTCGGAAATATCAGCAGGTTGAGCCGTAGGCTGTTGTACTATATCGTGAGTTTCTGCAGATGGACGGACAGATGACACATCGGAAGAACCCTCAACAGCTTCAACATGTTTAGACTTTTTAAGTGAAGGAACAACATCAGCACAGGCCTCGTCTTGAGCAACAGAGTCTTCTCTCAGCTCTAACAGAGAAGATGATGCAGAACGTTTTCGAACTGAAGGTGCCTGTTGCAAAGAAGAGTCAGAGGGGAGTTCTACTTCCTGGGATACACTAGGTCTGCCTTCTTCCATTACAGTGGGAGGCTCTGTTACAGAAGTCTCAGCATCAACCGAGGGCTCAACAGGCCGTTCAGGTCGAGGGTCAATTCGAGGCCGTATGATCCTCCTCATGCCCCCAGTTTTCCGACCTTCAATACTTGGTCTGGGAACGGTGGGCTCAGTTGCTTTAGCTTGAGGTGCAGATGGTCTAACCAGATGACTGCCAACCTGCTGGCCTGAGAAAAAATAAGAACAAAAACCATTGTCAGATCTCACAAGCCATAAAAGAATTTGGGTAATACCCAAATCTGACTGCCCATAGAACCTGAAGGAGCCGTCATGTCCACACTCGGCGACTCTGTACTAGAAGGCTGTGGACCATCATCACCTTCATTCATGACGGAATTCACAAAGTCCTCGAACTTTCCAGTGGACTGGAAGTATGCAAGTGTTTGTTCATCCAAGTTGCTATCAGGAGGAAGTTGGGAAGCAGTCATTCCAGACCGCTGTATTTCAAAACAAACACAAAAAAGAAAAAAAATGAAATAAATTCACAAACTAATTGTATGAAAAATATACTACTACAGAAAGCAGTCATTCCAGACTGCTGTATTTCAAAATAAACAAAAAAAAAGGAAAATAATGAAATAATTTCAGAAACGCTTGGCTGAAAAAATATTGCTATTGAAATATAAACATTTATGCTCCCTGTTTAAAAAGTGATATTGAGTCTTGTCAATCTACAAAGAATATAAATAGGTGGGACGTGGAGCAAAATGGTGAATACTACATCGATTTTCAGGAAATGGAATAACGTTCAAATTGCAGTAAAACATGTTTAAGTGGTTACTGATTGGATATGTTTGCAAGGTATTGTTGGGTTCATCAGGAAATCAAATCTCGCATCATAACCAAGGGAACCAAAGCGAAGCCAAAGGAAGTAGCTGGTGTTACATGTATCTGGTACTGGTCTTGTAACTCAGCGACACTGAGTTTTTACCAATAAAGGCCATACCATGATCTTGAAGTCATAACCAATTCCTCGCTTTGCTGAGGCAGGACTCAGCATGACCTGACAAACTAAACATATAAAATATATGGTCATGTCACAGCTCAAAATTCAACAGCAGATAGTCTTTCCCCTATGATCCAACTATTTATTTCCACTTAACTGACAAAAGGACTTCATACATTTTTTTCAGAGAAGAAGTAGAATCTTGAAGTTATTTCACTCAATGTGCTTGAGAACTGGCTGAACGTGCCTATCCTTCAACTTGAAAGTCGAGGAATTCTCAAAGAAGTAGAATCTTGAAGTTATTACACTCGATGTGCTTGAGAACTGGCTGAATGTGCCTGTCCTTCAACTTGAAAGTTGAGGAAATGATTGTAGCTTCTTGGCTACTGGATGAACAGATTTAAGTAGCTCTTGGGATACTTAGAAAAACATACATGAGGAATTTCAGTTACAAAATTGAAAATGAATTAGTCATTGCTAGATTAAGTATCTCATAGTCAATCAGTGCCAACAAAGTTCCAACTAATCCTAACTTGAAATTTCCATATCATTAACACTCAAACAAGAATACTTACCAAGTCCGTTAATATTCATTTCCCAACTTTCTGAATACTTCATTGTTCTCTACTTGGCCAAAAAGTAAACCTTTCTCTCTTAGGCCTGGCAATATTTGTTAATCTGAGGTTATACTGACAACCAAATTTCTTAAGGAAAATTTTCCTCGACCTTTTCCTCTTTCTATATATTTCTGCATTAGCCTTTCATTTGATTTTACAGTCTAAAATAGAACCAAGTACAATCTACACAGACGAGCTTTTCGTGTCATGCAAACACTTTGAATGCGTTGCCATATTCCATTTACAACGCAAATAGCTGCCGGTTTGTAATACCTGCCATATTCCTTTTACAATGCAAAACAGATTACATTTTATGCGTTAGGCAAGTTGCTTTCTACTAGTCTTAGTCATATCATAGAAAATATTAACAAAAGATATTTGTGAAGTAAACAAGATGCAAATGAGCACAAGAACTGCCGTTTTTCAATCCATCCTTCAGAGAATGACACCAGCAACTCGGCACCTAGGAACATGAAGGTTGAAACATGGCAAACCAAGGCAATTAAGGTTATAAATGACTGTTTTTCACAAATGGGTGCAACTAGGAGCTTCTTCCAAATCTAAAACAAAGTCCTTTCAGTGCCATGGAAGATTTAAGATTACGTAAGGGCATAATTGATTCAATGTCTTAATTAATTTAAGTATGCTCACAACTTCCCATCCAATCAAAATTCCCATATGCCTGTATTGTAATTAGAACTCAGTAACCAGCTTGTGTTGTATCAACAAAACCAACCTACAAAATCAATCAAATCAGTTCAATTCAACATTGGTCCCACTTGTTTGGTTTTCTATATGCCAACTGGAATCCTCTAGTTCCCAAAAAACGAAGACTTAAACCGAAACAGCTGGAAGCTCAGTCAATTTGCAGGTCTAGTCCCAGCTCTTCAGAGCAAGACATGAGTTTCATTGACAATAATCTTCTTCCGCTGAGACTAAATTTAACATCAATCATAGAAAAAAAATATGACTAGCAGCAAATAAATGCTTCTGTTCATCGAACTGACTGGATTTTTTTAGTTAAATATGTATTAGTCCCTTAAATCATCCTTAATTGCCAATTAGTCCCTCAAATCTTAGCATTTGTTCATTAGTTCCTCAAACCTTCATTTTATTGTAATTTTGCTCCTCCAGTAGAATTCCCGTTAGTTTCCCTAATTCTAGTTGGGGTAACCCTTAACCAACATCTAGAATTAACTAATTGCCCCTATGTTACATTACACTCTCAACTAACCCAAAGTTCACTTCTTCCCAAAATTTTCTGCTTTACGAAATGGAAACGAAATCTCTGGATTGGGTTCGGGGAAGTTCCTGACTGTTCAAAAAGGTGGCGGCTTTGGGTTTTATTTTGAGCAGGTTGTGGGTACATACCCAAGGTTGCTGATAGCGGATCGCGGCGCGTCGCGGCGAGGTACTGCTAAGGCTATTGCGCGCTATTGCGGCGAAATAGCGGCAAATAGCGCACAGTCAAATAGCGGTCAAATATAAATATATTTAAATGTTCTAAATAATAAGAAAAATCATATAAAAATCTAAAAATTCTACAAATGCATACTTGATGCCTTAACATGAATAGATGTGTAATAATTACATAATATTAATAAAATACTATAATTATAAAGATTAAAGAATAAAAAACGCACCTATTTATCAAAAAAATCGTTATTTGTCTCATTTTTTCACCTTTCAAGTCTCTAATATAAAAATGCTCAACAATAAAAAAACATTGATTAGTAACATCATCATTATATTAACTACTAGAAATTTGACATAAAAATAAAATATTCTACCTCTGTGAGAAAATTACTGATAATTATCTATTTCACAAGTTAAAATTCTTAACTTCCTTTAAGGAATTCATTTACTATCTATTTGCCATGTCTTGGCTTCCATCATAAAATTGAAAAGGACAGCAGTCTGTTACATAGGAAAATAAAGCAATGAGGAAAATATTTTTTTTTGAGAGAACTATGGGAAATCAAATTACATTTTAGAAATTTACAACTAACAAGCAAATAAACTTTTGCTTTTATAATAAAAATACTATTCTTCCTGATTAATGCTTGTTTTGTACTACTGATCTATTTACAACTAACAAGCAAATAAATATTTTTTTTTGAGAGAACTATGGGAAATCAAATTACATTTTAGAAAATTACTGATCTATTTGCTATTGGCCGCTATTTACAACACATGGCAAATAGATCTCTTATTCTTCCTGATTAATGCTTGTTTTGTACTACTTTACTTTGAATGATCTCTATTCTATAATAAAAATACTTTTTGTTACCTTCAGCAAATAAACTTTTGCTTTTATGTTTTGGCAATTTAATCTTTTGTACCTAGGTTTCAGATGTTCATAAATGTACTAAAAATCTAGATGCATCAGCTTTTGATTACTATTATTATTATTATTGAGTCATTCAATATTTCATGTCATATAAGTTAAAGAAGAAATAGTAATTATGTTGCATATTCTGATGATAACGATAATTAGAAACATGCAGCTCCATCTAGATTTTTTCAAACTTAATTAGCAGTCCTGCTTGATGTTGTGCAATATATAGAAAAACACAGTATATTACTATTCTTATTTATTAATATTATTATTCATAATAATTTTCGAATCTATCATTCAATAAAACAGTACATACTGTATTCTAGATTTGAATAAGAAGTATACAAGACCTTTTCAGTAAGTGTTCAGATAGACATTGTTTCAAAGAACAAAGAATACAGACCCATTAAAGCTACTAGATGATTTTCATTATCCAGTGGAGACAAAATTACAGCACCGGAATTACAGTTTATTCAGTCTGAAATTAAGGATAAATTGATGTCCAAACTTGATAATATATAGAATACACTAATACAGGATACCATTCACCAAAAAAACATAGAACAATTGATAAGCAAGTCAGAGAACAACAACAAGAGGAATAAACAACTCGAGGAAGAATAGATGGAATTGTATGGATTTCAAAAGCAACAACGAGAGTACTAAACATTTAAATACTAATGTCATGGATTTCAAAAGCAACATAAGACGTAATTGCGTGATTGATACCTCTAATATCAAGGCAATGGCATGTTTGTGCTTTGCAAGTTCCTCTTCCATTTTGGTCTTGTCCTGTAATAATGAAGTTAAAAACCATAACATACAAAAGAACATTTTCTGAGGCCTTTCAAGCTCCACTGGAAGTATGAGAGAAGGTCAAAAAAAAGCATGTAGTAGATAAGAGAGGAATGTTGAAGAAATAAAACAGGAAATGATGAAACAATAAATCTCAGTAAAAGTTTGCTCTCATGAGATTAAACAAAATTACAATATAAAGTAGTTGTACATACTAACAGCTTCCAGATTGTTTTAAACATAAAGAAATATCAGTAGGTACTAGAATCTACTAAGAAAATGAATTTCTCCGCTTAAAATTGGCAAGGAAAATAAAGATGAAGAAAGATAAGATAAAGATACATTTTCTTGTATATTTCTATTTTATTATTATATGTTTTTGGTTTCACGATGGACACAACAAAAAATTTAAAAAACATATCATAATTAATATGTTTAATTTTCCACTCAGCTTGTCAGAACTGACCATCAGCGGTTTACAAGTATTTGCTACTTGCTCATGGTGACTGAGATGGTAATTGACGTGTTTGCAGGCGTGCAGGTGAGGGTGCATGTAAATCTGTATTATACACACACATAAATGTTTTGGTTATATATCGTCTCTCGACTCTCTCGTATATGTATACGTCTCTATGTGTTTTTGTTGGTGCGCGGGAGTACATCTGTTTGTCTAGTGCATAAACATATATACATAGAGAACTGAATGTAATTATACTAAATGATTTCTCAACTGACAATAACTAGTAAAAAACAATCATTAACTAAATTCTTAGATAATTACTATTTGACAGACTATCTAAATGGATTAAGTTACTCAACAAACAAAATCCACAATTGGAACCATACTGCAGTAGGTTCAACATCTATACATTAGAAGGAAATCTGCTGAAAATTTTGCATCAAGTGTAAGGGCATAGAACTTGATAAATAAGGTGACACATCAAGTGTAAAGGAAAAAGGTTGATACATAGGGAGGTATATTTTAAAATTTTAAGGATCTGTCAAATACTCAAAAAGTAAGAATATCTGGGAAATCGGAGTTATGAAATACAAAAGAGCGACAATAGAGACAAATGAACATCAAACATACAAGAAAACCAGGTAGGCCGTGCAAATAAGAAATGTGCAATGATTTCAATTACCACTTTAACTTTCTGAAGAAGGTCCATCACAGTGATCCTGGACTTTTTCTGCTTCAACTTATTATCATCCCTCTCTTTCTTCAAATCTTCCTTCTGCCTTTCTAGAGTTTTCTCTAAAATCTGTTTTTATATGTTAATCAGCAAAAGAAAAGGTTCAGTAATTTTGAGCTTTACTTTACTAATATCCAATTACTAACACAAGCGAACCTGAATTCTGGTGTCCTTTTCTTGATCCTTTTTGGCCTGTTCACTTGAACTCTCGCCTATGATTTTCCTACCTGTCAATGTAGAGCAAGGTTAGCACGAGAGAAGCCAAAGCAACCAAACTTATTTGCTCATCATGGCAATACATACTTGATTTAGAATCTTCTAATTGTTTCAGAAGGGCTTGGTTTTTAAAGTGAAGTTCTTCCTTCTCTCTTGTCAGTGTCTCATTTTTCTTCTGCAACAGGAAATAACAAATAAAATTATATATATTATTTACATATGAAAAGATTCTAACAAACATAAAAACATGCATTCAATAGTAAAACCACATGTTTTAATGCTAACAACAACCTTCAAGACAGAGATAGCCTTCTTCTGCTTCTCATTTTCCTGTTTCGTGTTTACCTACATTAGATAGTAATTTTAGTGGGTCATACAAATGAAATATATAATATTTAAGTTGCAAAATCCAAAACATGCCAATAATGTGATACCTCAGCTTGAAGCGAATCCTTAAACTTTTTGTCTTGTTCAGCTAAATCTGATTGACTTTTGTCAATTACTTGCTCCAATCTTGATATAGCGTCTTGCTTCTCTAAAATAGCAGTTCTTGTGAGCTCAACCTCCAATTCTCTCTCACGCAGAATTACCTGCATGTGCACCAAATATGTATCTAAATATTAACATAAAATTTCTACACAATGTTTGAAGTATGTAGAACAAGAACTAGTAGACCCAACAATTAACTAGAAACCAACCTAAAATATTCAATGAGAGATGAGGCCAGTTCCATGTCACAGAAAAGGTAATAATTTTAAGAAGGAAAAAAAAGCAAGAAGAGATGCGGGAGGGAAAAATAAAGAACATTCAAAGAGAGCACAATGTATTAATAATTCCATTTGTAAGAAGTGAAATAAAATTGAGACATTAAACCAACCCTTCTATTACCTTCGATCAAAAGAGAAGATTGATCCTCAATCAAAATTTGAACTAACCAAAGCTTATCTAGAAGCATACAAATAGACGCTAAGATGAGTATGTATATGTATGTGTGTGTGTGTATTAAAAAAACATGTGTAGATTAGAGCATGTAAAGCATGTTCATGACTAAAATCAATAATACTTGATACAGAAGTTATGAATTGCTGGCAGAGAATAGCTAAAGCATGCGCACAAGGGACTTTCCAATTTGAAACTCACATACCAAGCATTGCTACTAATATGGAGTTCAAAGGATTCAATCTACAGCAAATGTCCATGAGTCTATGTTTGTGATTTTGTGCAACTCACTCACAATATGCAATAAGCAATAGTCCTATAGCCAGCTTTTGACCAAATTACTCATTCTCCCAGCAAAACTGTTAATTAGGAAGAATTAGATAACAATTTCGACCTATGATGACTCTAATGAAGAAAACACTGAAACAATTAGTAAAAACCAAAAACCAATAAGTATGCCAATCAAACTAACTTGAAGCTACACATACGAAACAAAGGCAGAAAACAGCAACTCACCTTAATTTGTTGATGCTCATCCTTCATCCGCTCATACTCCACAAGGTCGACATTTTTAGTACTTTCATGCAACTGCAAAAACAAAAGTAATAGCAGGCGCATTTAAGTTTTCATCTTTTAAAATAAAACATCATCAACTCTGTGATACTATTATTGAGATTTGATGAAACATCATTAGTTCATTACCTCTGTGATTCTATTATTGAGATGACCATTCTCCAGCTTAAGCATCTCAATCTCCTTCCGACAAGCATCCAACTCAAGTTCTTTTGTGCGCAGAAGGTTTACAAAATTTTCAGCTTCCATTTTGGCCATCTGAGCTGCTTCGCGAAATTTCTAGGTACAAAAATATATCCTTCCATTACAGAACGTAATGCAGAATAAAGAAAGAAAGGCAAATGCCTTACATTATGGTACATGGACATCTACACAATAAGATGAGAAAATATGTATGACACACAAACCTGGGATTCCTCAAAATTGTGCTTGTTTTCTGCCCGAAGTTGCACATTGCTTTCACGCAACAAATTGATTTCTCTTACCTGAACGCATATAAATATAAATTATTACCAATAAAACAGTCCACAAACACGCAGTTGAACAGAGTGGATATTAGATATTAATGGAAAATATTTGCTTTCGCTACAAATTTTGTTTTTTACTTGTCTATCAAAAGTTATCATCTTTTTAGCATCTGAACTAGTAAAACACATAAACAAGAATCCCAAAGCACGAGATTTCTCATCCTTTTACTAATTAAATTATGAAGATCAGGTTGGAGGAACTGATCATTTATACTATGGTGCATCATTAAGTTGCTACAGAACTTATTTTGAGGTCATTTCCTATAGGATTAATCCAATACATATTATAGCATTTCTAAAGTAGAAACCTTGGAAAAAGAGTTCAAAAAGCAAATAGATATCTTTGAGATAGAAATAAAAAAGTTACCTGAAGCTGAAGAGCTTTGAAGTCCTCATCTTTAAAGAGTTGTTCTCGAGTGTTCTCATGTTGTGAACGAAGTAATGTTTGAGCATTTTCAGAGGCCTTCAAAGCAACCTCAAGCTAAAACCACAAAATCAGTGATAAGTGAAACAATGCAAACAGAAATATATGCAATTAAAAGAAATACAGAGTCATCTATAGCAAGGAAAAATATTAAGGTAAATCTCTCATGACAGTTCATCTCAGAGAATAACCGAGCCGCAAACATAGAAAACGAATACAACATCATAAAAGGAAAAAGAAATAATTCAGCACAAAACAATATTATCGATTACGAAGATATGAGACATGACAAATACAATTGGTGGTAAGGAGACACAATAAAAAGAGGGTGGCCTATTGTTTGTTGATATGTAAATATACCATGCACGCCATGGTTGAAGAAGCAACCCGAAAATACCCATAGAAATCACTACCAAGCTTGAGTCTTGAGTCTGAAACATACACCACCATACTCCTCTTTCTATTTTAGCATTTTCATGACACATGAGGTAGTTGACAGAGCAGACACAACATACTTCAGTAAAAAAGGAAATAGATAGAATGCTAAAGACTTTTTTATTCACTAGGATTCTGTTGCATGTTTGAAAAAAATCATATGAAAGCAAGGTCTAGATCATTCATTGATGATTGATCCACATGATTTCAAATGCCAGCATACAGAAATCCTTCTGACCCCCACTGAAAAAACATGACACATTCAACATGATGTAATAAAAGAAAAAGCATAGTATATATAGTCAGTACACTGCAATAACACAGCTATCATTGAACATACTTGTGACTGAAGCCTCAACTTCTCTTGCTTTAATAAGGATATCTCAGTTTCAGCCTGCCAAGACCAAGGGTAAATTCACAGTCACAACTTGTGAAATACCTAGACAGGTACGAAATGATCATCCAATAAGGGGAAAAAAAACTTACAATTTCTTTTGATCGTCGAAGATAGCTGATCACATTTTGCAAGTCATTATCTGTTTTTGAATCTGTATTCCGGGATGATACCCCAGAAGAAGAATGTTCCTTATCCACCAATTTAGTGTGCAAAGCTTCCAATCTGTTATGCAGTAATTTGTTCTACAAGAAAATAGAAAATTACGAATGAGAAAGGCAGGTAGTAAAATATGGCTACAGTTGAGGTATAAGGTAGACTAGCTCGTCCTTAAGAAGATGCATACACGAAAGATGGGAGTCATGGGACAGCGTGGAGCTACAAATGTTTGAAATATAAAATTGATGTTTGCGCTTATCAGTAATTACCACAGAGAACTGCAAATCAATACCCAAGTCACATGAAGAAAATGGACTACATAATAAAAAAGCCCTTTTTCAATATACATAATAAGCTTTGTTTTTTGTTTTTTGTTTTAGTTTTCGTTTGTTTGTTTGTTTGTTTCCATGTAAGAAGAGAAGGTGCCGAATCCGTCCTTTAATATAAAGAGAGATTGGTGGAACTCTTAAAGGCACACAAAATTGACATGTGTCATGTTATAAAGGCACAAAAAACTGACACGTTATATCATAAGTACTAATGTGTCCCTCTTCCTACCAGAAAATGACATGTGGACACCTATATGGACACCTAATCTTATATTCACCTAAGAATTCTTATCAAATTAAAACTGTCCATAATTAGACATTTCTAATGATCAAATACATTGTAATCCTCATCAGATTAACTATCCATATTTTATGATAAATTTTTTTTCTCATAACCATATATTTAAGAAATTAAAGAAAAAAAACTCACATAAAGTGCTCATCTACATTAAATCATGGGTTAATTTTAGAAAACCCCTCAACTATGAGGGGTATCTCAGAAAGCTTCCCTTCAACTATTTTAAATTGTAAAACCCACCCATCAAATTTGAGCATATTGTAGATAACCTCCCTCAACTAAGAAAATTTGAGATAACCACCTAAACTTTGCTCACTTAATTTCCTTCAAAAATAGGTTT